CTGGGCTGGAGTTATTTATTTCTGTGAGAGAGAGACACAGAGCACGAGCAGGGGAGGGGCAGAGAGAGAGGGAGACACAGAATCCAAAGCAGGTTCCAGGCTCCGAGCTGTCAGCACAGAGCCCGACGTGGGGCTTGAACTCCCAAACCATGAGATTGTGACCTGAGCCGAAGTCAGACGCTCAACCGACTGAGCCACCCAGGTGCCCCGTGCCAGTCCCCTCCTTAAAGGACCCCTCCACCACCACTCCCCTGGCCTGGAGTCTCCCTGAGCCCTACTGTTCATCTCCACGTGAAGGGCTTCTTCCCCTTGAGAGGGTTTGACACTTCCTGTACCCACCCCCAGCCTGGATTGGAGGGGCCTGAGACGGGCTGGTTGGTTCATTGACTCCAGCGGCTGTTCACTGGGCACCTGCCATGTGCCAGGCACTCCTCTAGGCACCGAAGGTGCAGCAGCGATCCAGACAGGGCCCTGCCCTCGCTGGGCAGCTGGGCAGTGAACAAATAAGCATGACGAGATGTCTGTGGTACTCGTGCAATGGCCGGGCCACTGCTCCCCGGCTCCCGGGAAGCATGAGTTTCCCGTGGATGTCAGAACAAATTTCCACAAACTGGCGGGGTGGGGGTGGGGTGGGGCTTACAACAGAAATCTCAGTTCTCGAGGCCAGAAGTTTGCAGTCAAGGTGCTGGGAGGGCTGTGCTCCCTCTGGAGGCTCCCTCCTGCCTCTCCCAGCCCCTGGTGGCCTCACGCCTTCCTGGAAAAGTACCTGGTGCTCAGTTGCGGGGTGTGGCATCGAGCAGGTTCACCTTCCCTCTTCCTTCTCCTCCTCCTCCTCCTCTTCCTCCTCCTCCTCCTCCTCCCTCCATGACCTGCTCCTCTCTCCACCTACCTGGTCAGCAAACTTAGTTGCCAAGGTGTGACTGGAGTTTAAATGCACGCCCATCACACAGTTGGAGCACAGCTATATGGAAAACAACATGAATAATTCATCCGGCTTTGCCAGGGGGAGGGGCTTGCCGATGAGTCTAATTACGCTCGTTCCCCAGGGAGGCCAGTTTGCCGTAAACCTCGTGAGGTGCCGCGTACGTGTGGGATTCATGCAGCTGCCCGTGAAATGGGGGAGAGGCCACCTGGGGGTCAGTCCTCCCAATGAGAGGGTGCTCCGGGATCATGCCCAACCCCTCGTTTCGCAAATGGGGGACGCTGAGGCTTGAGGACTGTAAGTGACGTTTGCGTGCGGCCCTGAGCATCCGAGAGAGAGCTGAGACCGGATGCTCAGCCCGGGGCCCCCGGCTTCTGACCCAGCACGGGGCTGGCCAGAGTCAAAGCCCCCACATCAGGTCACGTTTGGACCAAATGTCTCACAGTCCACGTGCACAAGGCCACATGGGTGTGAGTCAAGGAGGAGCGTTTGCACTGTGCGTTCCGTTTGGGGTATAGTTCAGGCCCGGCTTTGTGATGTGATGAAGGAGTTCCACAGTGACAGCCCCACTCGGCAATTAATCCTTTCACACACCCGCCTGCACCCGGGAGGAGCCAGGTAGCAGGTGCAGGGCGGGTCCTGTGGCGGGCTCAGCAGGAGGTCTTGGAGAGGCTGATCACAGGGGATCAGGCTGGGTGGCCATGCCCCGAAGGATGCCCTGCTGTCCTTTACATGTAGGCATGGCTCTGGCCCTGGGATGCAGAGGCGCGGGACCCCCTGCCCGGACTCAAGGACCCCTTGCCCTGCGGGGGCCCCAGCACATCCGCTGCCACTATGGCTTGGTCTTCCTCCTCCCGGGTCATGCGGGAATGCGTTTCACGTCCGTCTTTCCCTGGCACCCACTGTATCCAGAGCCCTTTGTTTGAAACAGCAAGAGATTTCCGGAGTGATGCTTGGGCTGTAAGTCCTGGGCTGTGAGTGGGACCCGGGCATTGGAGGCTCTGTCTCCCGAGCCCACACACAGGACCCTTGGTCCCCGCGCATCACCCTCGGCCAGCTCTGTGTCACCTGGTTCAGGCCTGTTCGCTGCAGACCTGATTGTGCCCCCGTGTACTTCTAAAAGCCATCACACCTCGTACCTGTTTCTAACGACTGTTGTCATGAGGCTGTCACGAGTGGTTAAGCATGATGGGGTCACGGGAAGCGTGCACTCTGGAATCCAGCAAAGAGGCCACACCCATTTGCTTGGCCTTGAGCCCCGCGTGAGTCTGGGAGCAGCACGTGGGGGCCAGGAGAGGAGGCTTCCGGGCCCTCCCGCTGCGCTTTCTGGTACCAGTGCGCACAGCTTCCCAGCCTGGCCGTCTCTGTGAAAAGTCTCATAAACACTAGCCTCAGTCTCCATGAGCCAGACATCTGGTAAATGTGGGCGGACGGCTTCTGAGCTCATGCCGTGACTCACAATGAACGACAGTCGTAAACTGGGCAACAGGGGTCGTTGCGTGCGTCAGAGTTTTGGTCGTTGTGGAGGCAGAGCGATCCACGTCCGGGGTTCGGACGTCACGCCTCTGCTCCTCGTCCATTGAGGTGCGTTCTAGAACATCTCGAGGTGGGAAAGTGAATTGGCTTTGGACGCTGAGGGGGTCAGGAGGGTGGGTTGTGTGTAGGGACAGGTGATCTGAAAGTCTCTGAGGCTTGGAACAGCCGAGGGGGATTTCATAGCAGGTGACCCGAGGCGCGGGTCCCACAGCAGATGGCCAAGTGTCATGCACACCGCGTGCTGGCTCTCAGAGCTCCAGCCTGGGAATGACGCATGGCACCTGTCACTTCTGCCCTCCATCCTTCGGGAAAGCAATAAGGGAGCCGGCTGCGCCGAGTGCCATCGGGCGGATGGACAGGTACCCCCGTCCCCTCCCCCTCCCCCCACTCTGATGGGAAGCCGAAACAGGCAAGGTATTTCACCATATCCCGCTGAGTCCTGTTCCCCCGGAAGTCGTCTCTCCGTGAAACGCGGAGTAAACACGTGTCCCCTGATGAGTGACCCCACCGGGACTCCAGGCCGGCCAGCGTTCCTTGGAGCCCTGGCCACTTTGGTGTCCCTCCTTTGATGTTTGTGGCCCGAGTTCTGCAGAGAGAATTTAGTCTTGGCTTTTTCTCTCTTACGGTTCAGTCTCATTTTCCGTGATTTAATCTCTGCTGCTTATCGTACGAGAAAACCGCAGTTTTTCGCAGCTCGGGCTCCTTTTCCCTCCTCTCGATATTTTTATGCGATTCTGAGTGTCTGGTTAATGATGGGTTTCCTGAAGCAGTATTTGAGCACGCAATATCGTGAGCACACACACCCTCCTCGGTGCCTCACGCAGATTCAGCATTCTTTCGGACGTTTTATGAACTCTCACGTTTACACAAGTCAGGAAATGTCTCTCATTGAGGCTTTGGCAGGAGGGGCAGGGAGAGCTGATGGCAGGAGGCGTCTCAGAGTTTCCATCCCATTCTTTCCAGACAATAAAAGATAATAATGGCAGCTGATATTCACTGAGCTCTGTGATATATAAAACAGCGAGCAAGGGGATTTGCCGCTTCTAATTTTCACAGCAAGACTGTGTTAGCCCTGTCGATCCATTTTACAGAAGAGGAAACCGAGGCACGAAGAGCTAAGGAACTTCCCCCTTGATTGCACAGGCAACAGGTGGAAGAGCTGGGACTCAAACCCCAGACTCTGATGCCAGGGCCCACACACAGATGCAGGGGGAGGAGAGGGCATTTCAGCCAAAGGGAACGGCCTGGGCAGAGCCCCGCACAGGGCTGGGGAGTCAGAGACCAGGGTATCGCTGTCAGAGAGGAAAGTACCTTTAGGGCCGAGCGACTAGTGGGATCTGAAACTGAAGAGATAGAGGGTGGTGGAGGTGGGGCGGGGGGG